CTGTTTTGTTTTTAATTAGTTTTTGCTTTCTGTGAAGCACTTTGTGATGTTTGTGTCTGTGAAAGGTGYTATAGAAATAAAGTTTACTTACTTACTTACTTCCTGGCTACAGCATCAATATCACTATCACGATCAAACAGATGCTGCTCAACCAACCATCCTCTCCCAAAACAGAAACAMAAAGATAAAAAGTGGGAAATCAGTTTTAAATATCGGACTGATACCGATATTCTAAAAAATGGCCAATATCTGCAGATACTGATGTTAATACAGATATATTGTGCATCCCTAGTAAAAAAAAAAAAAAAACTTTTGGTGTGACCTTAATATGTTTTTTAACAGAACACTTGATATTTTAAACATGTTTTATTTGGTGTTTTTAATATTAGATGTCTTGGATAACACATCATGAACTTCTCATTCTACATGCCAGCAAATTAGCAAAACACCAGCAGCCCAACCTCACTGTTTTCAGGACTGAGCTGCTATTTGGACTCATTGAAACTCTGTACTAAGTAACTCTAAAGCTATAAAACTTAAAGCCTTATGTGAAGAAATGATTTTTAACCTTTTATTTTGTCTCCTGTCTATTTTGTATCTCTCTCTCTCTCTCTCTCTCTCTCTCTGAGTATATTACTGTTTGTGGTTGTGTTGGTTTGTAAATAAAGATTTAACTAGTGCGCCTCGATGCTAACAGTTAGCCTCAGTCATTTACTTGCACTCATGGCTTCTGACAATTTATTAAGTACAGAAAAATGTTGAAACTTTTAAACCTTCATTTAAGCATCCTCCTGTGTTGTAACATAACCATAACTCGTATATTTCCATTCAGCGCAGCAAGCCAAACATTTGTTTACAAGCACTGGTTAGCTCTAACAAGCTAGCTTCGACGTCATCCTGCTACGGTGTTCCAAAATAAACGTAACGCAAATTAATATAAGCAGTTTTTTCTTTACAAACACGAGCTGAAAATTTACCAAACTTACCTCGTGTACTTTAACTCTGCTTTCAACATATATAAACTTGGATACAAGCGTTAGCTTGTTGCAGAACAACAGCACGTGTCCGTCACAAAAACAGCTCCGACCGGAAACAACTAACAAAGCTGCGAGGTACCTAGCCTGGCAGACTAATATTTGTTTCCATAACACGTTTGAACCTTGCGGCTCGGAGCGTGTGATTAGTTTGAATTTCATGGGTGTGTTTGTTCCTGAGGAACACAGCAGCACTCCAGCAGTGCAGGACTCAGAACAGCACTGCCTTCTGCAGGTTATTTTGTTTAAGGTTTTTTCCTGAAGCCAGTCGTTAAGAGTTGTCCCAACCCGCTGTCTCACATCCTACAGATGTATTACGTCCTACAGCTGTAGTATATCTTCTATCTGTAGTACATCTTATAGATGTAGTAAGTCTTACAGCTGTAGTACATCTAATAGAAACAAATAAACATAAAAAACAGGGTTCCGAACAACACAACAATAACATTATTTCTAACAACAAAAACGCTAAAAAAAAGCTCAATTATTTAAGGTCCTAAGGTGGAAAACAGGCAACATTTGGTACAAGTAGGCAATTTGAAAATAAAAATGCTTAAACATACTTTTATTTGAAGTAAACAAGACAGACGATTCAAGATGAAACAGACAGTAATAAAAACTGATGTTTGGTCTGAACGTTTATTCACTTTTTTAATTAAACTGTGATCACCTGATACACAAACATTAATTTACATTAGAGTTTTCTTTAGTTTTCAGCCTTGGTTTGAAAAAATACAAAAAATAATCCACCAGGTAAACAAAACAATGCAAAGTGAAGGTTTCTGTTTCAGGTGAGAATATAAAAAAAACTACAGGAAGATGTAAAAAAAATTATTTAATACTGGCCTGGTTTTATGTCTGATGTTCCTGCTAAAACTCAGCTTGATTTATGCAAAAATAAAAACATAAAATAAACAAATATTTCTCTTAAAATCCTTCCTAAAAAGCACATTTTTAAACCTTTTTGTGAAACTGCTGCCAAGTTCAGGTTGAACAGTTTTTGTGAAAATCAACATAACAAGAAACAAAGAAGAAGAATTCAAACCGAGGTGTTTAAAAACCAAACTGACATCAGAATAAAAGGCTCAAACATCTGGATTATTTAAAAACAATAATTAAAAATAGTCAAGTAGTAAAAATAATCCAGCCAACATGTGAATCTATTTACAAAAATAAATTAAATTAAAGGAATTCTGATGAAATGCAGCGCTGACCACTTCCTGAGTGACGGATCTTAATCCCGGATCAGTTTCAGCTGGAGCTGCAGGGAGAAAACCAGGTGAATCTAACAGGAAAAGCAGGTACCTGGTGGGGGGGCGGAGTCAGGAGGGGCTCACCTGTCAGCAGCATCCTGCTCAACCTCAGCACCGCCCTCGGTTTTAGACCCTCGCAGTTTAATGGGATCTAGAGGAACAGGAAGATTTATTTGTGAACGTTTCTGGATTCAGGTTTTAAATTAAGCCCCGCCCCACTCCCCACCTTGGATCCAGCGGATCTGCGTGGCCGGACCGTAGCCTTGCTCGTTCTTGGCGGCGATGCGGAAGACCACGGCCGGGCGGCTGGACGAGGAGCTGTCGATGTGGGCGTTGACCAGGTGGGCGGAGCTAACAGAGCAGGACGTCTTGTTGCCGCGGTACACCCTGATGAACGCCATCTGACCAGGCCGCTCCGAGCGGTTCTTCCTCACCGCCAGGTACATGGAGTACTCCAAGATCCGGCCCGACGGAGACGACGGGGGATTCCAGTTGATCTGGACCAAATCGTTCACCTTCACAGAAACAAACGAGCACCGTTTGAAACGTTTCGTTTAACGAAATAATAAATAAAATTCTCTTTTTCCTTCAGGGTCCAATTATTCTGGAAACCAGGAAGTGACTCAGAAAGCATCTAACCATTAAAACAAACATTGGATCTACTTTAAAGTTTTGATCTAATCTGTGACAGCAGTAAAATATCTGATCACCAGTCACATGTCTGCAGTCACCTTGGAGATTTTGACAGCAGAGGGCGCTCCAGGGAAGCCCGGCTGGCAGGTTTTGAAGTCGCTGACGGGGCTGAAGTCTCCCTGACCGAAGCCGTTCAGACCCGCCACCCTGAACCGGTACATCTGACCCGGAACCAGGTCCTGCTTGTCCCTGCCCTGATAGTCCTGAGGTCCGGGCAGCTTCCTCTGAGGAAACACAACCAATCAGCTCCTGTCGGCCTCTTTGTTTCAATTTCATTGTTTCATTTTCATTGTTTCAGTTTGTTTGTTTTTGTTTCATTTTGTTTGTTTGTGTTTGTTTGTTTCAGTGTGTTTGTTTGTTTCAGTGTGTTTGTTTGTTTC